GTTTAGGAGGGGACGAGGAGGGTTGGTTGCGAAGACGGAGATGGAAGAAGGAAGGAGAGATTTGGTGGAAGGAAGTGGAAATGTGAGTGACAACCACCATGGCTGTGAACAAAATCGAAGCTTTTGGATAAATCTTAACCTCATCTTTAAATACGTTATCTTCTCCATACAAATATTTGATATTGTTTTTTCTTTATTGTTTCTTCTATAGTTTACTAGCGGATGACTACTGTAATTAGCTAATGAGTACCTTTGTTTTTGTATTAAATCTAAAATCAAATCAACTCATTGGGCTTTCTAGTAGGCCTATAGTTATTGCGTAAAGCCCATGTTCTAATAATATAGGGAATAGAGAATAGGAGAGGAGAGGTATCAAAATAGAGGACTACGGAAAGTAAATTATTTAGCAGTCAAAGGTTTGTTTAACTTGATGATCTCTAAGTTAAAATTGAAAATGTGTGAAGAGAATCTAATCAAAAAATTAAACATGTTTTTTTCGTTTACAGATACTGTAGATGACGACGTTTTATTCATACGATGAATGTCTCTATGATATATAACACGTTTTATTTATTAATTAATACATGCTAAACTTTATACCGAGTTAAGAAATAGTAATATAGTTTTGATTATTTTTAGGCAACTCTAAAATCTATTTGATTATTTGAGATCAAATGTCGCACAAAATTACATATATTAACCAACTGTGTGTATATATGCGATTCTTATAAGCACGGAAATGTGGAAGATACATTGGATTCACCATATTTCATCATATTCCACTATTGACTGTAAGTTACAATATGTAACACAGGGAAAAAACATTTGAAGAGTAGAATGATAATCTCATCGTTATAGAACAAAGTGTGACTTGCCAAGTTTCCATCAAAAAACAAAAAAAGTTTGATATCCTTTAGTAAGACAAAACATGAACGCAAGGATTTTGCATCGAGGAAGTCTATCTTAATTCTTGACTTCACATAATATGAACGAATAACAAGATTTGTCTTTTAGAACTTACTAAAATTTCTTACTCTTCAGAAATATGAATTTGATAGATGGAGTGTTGTTACACAACGTTAACGATTACATTAGAAGATATACATAGGTAGTTTTTAGTTGAAAATTTATACTTTTTTCAGAGTGTCTCTCTTGCTAATCTTGAGGTACAATAGGAAAAAAAAAACAGTTTTTATCTTGCTATAGCTCTGATAGTGCAGAGGAATCCTAAGTTGAGGAAGACCAAGATCTTTCAAAATAGTATAAGGGTTTCCTAAATTGTACAAAGATATCGAATTATATAACCTAAATTTTGGATCCACTATAATGGAGTGGACCCGTATAAAGTTGTAGGTTTTGTTTCGTAGCTTGAACATTTGTTTGTGTATAGTACACATGGTGAAATTTTTGTTTATTTTGGTACTTTTTTTAACCAAAGCTTGATGGGGGCGTTTTATATAGCGTTGCTTACTCGAACCAAATAAAAATATCATGCAAATACAAATTATGCGAACCGAAACTTTCTTTTTCTCAATCGTGATCTATATAATTGGGCCAACCAAGTAGTATTAGACAAACAAAACTATTCAAAACAAGACACCTTAAAAATCTAAAAATTTCATAATTCAATACATAGCTATATATTATTAGCTAGATGCCCTCTACAATAATAATATCATTTAGGACATCACTCTGATCACTTGTTTTTGGCTCAAAGGAAAAAATACAACAAACATATTCCGTTATGCTGACATGGCAAGATCTCATTGGACAACAGAATTCAATCACATCGTACACTTTAATCCCCCCCCCCTCGACTTTAAAGAATATAATTTGAGCAATTTGGCTCATAGAGAAAAAGGAACAAAAAATCAAAATCAAAATCAAGTGGATGGGTGTGGTCAATAGAATCTCCACTTGTCCCTGCGACAAAATTTGGGGTTTGCTTTTTCTTGAGAGCTTTTTGGTTTGAAAATTTGAGAGCTCAAGACAATGAAAATAATAATAATATGAGTCTACTAGACTGCACCACCTTTGTCTCTTATTGCACTGTCGCGTCTTTCTGCTGTCTCGTCCTCCAGTGATATTTCGTAGTTCTTCTTGATGACTTAAACAGCATTTAATCAATTAGAAACCCCACCAAACTTTTACGTACGTTTTCTTGAGAAGAATCGAACGATAGATATTCAAAATGGGTAGAGAGGAATCAATTATTCTTGATGGCTTGTCATTTTGGACCAAAATGTGTAATCAATCATATATTCTTGATGGCTCTCTTTCGTAAACTATGAATATATAGTTTAGTTGCAAGAGAATAACCAGATTTAACAATATTTTACGCCAGTTTCTAAGAGCTGATATATAGATGCAAAAATAAATATAAATGAATCCAAGCATAATCACGGAAAGAAGTTATTAACATAATAATTAACATGGTTCATATTTTAGTGCATGAATGCCCTTAATTTAATTTAGAGGTAAAATCGTGTGTGTGTATATATAAAGTGAAATCCGAAATATTTATTTATTTTCCATCGTTGATGTTCGAACTTGGACCGGACTCTCTCCTTTAGAATATGGCTAGATGATAGTATGATACACCGGTTGAGCTATCCAGTTTCTTCATCATGTGGGTGAAAACATTTTGTTTGTTCATTACTTTTTTACTCTTTGTTTTCATCATATTTTTGGTACCTACGAGACTTATAGTTTTGGAACCGGCTTCAAAGTTTACCGAGAGTTTGGGACCAACCTAGACTCTAAACTTCTATTCTAGGTAAAAATATTTGGATTCAGAAGAAACAATATATAACTCTAGTACTGGCCTGATTTTGACACCGTTATAATTTTTGGAAGCATAAAAACGTTTGGATAAACACGAAACGTTTTCAAAAACGTTAGAAATGAAATACACTCGATCGTTAGTGGTAACTACGGATTGACTCAAATGAAAAGATGGTAGCGCATGATCTGTAAGAGGTTGGATAAGGGAAGGTATCTATAGGTATACGAATAAGTGGATGAGAGAGAGTAGGCGTCTTGGTTTGTAATCTTGTTGATGACGAGGAGAGGGAATATGAGAGAGAGAGAGAAAGTGATCATGAATAGGGTTTTGAATTTGATTCGAGGGAATAGTTGCTGTTTCAGGACTCAAAAATAGAGAGCTAGCTAGCTAGGTCCACATGATGAGGAGAGGCGAATAAAATATGCATGTATGTAATAATATAGAGTTTTATTCAATGTGTCTGAATTTGATGGATCCTTGTGCTTCAGAAACCTTTGATTTCGACAAAACACCCTCCTCGATGTGTTTGTCTCTCAGTTCTTTACGTAACCTTTGTAGATTCTCTCTCGACTCTCATGTCCATTTGCGCCACGTCACTCAGTTTGTTCTACCATTTGCGATTATTTGATCTCATTGTAGATTGTTGTGCCTGACGTGGCATCTTCCCATTGGTTTAGAATCAAAAACTTTAATCTCCCGCGTCCCCTTCTTACCCAACCCAAAAAAACTGATGATCACTTTCCTTTTTTTTTTTTTCTTTTTTGATTTGCCCTTCCACTATTGTAACGTATAGTACTCATGACATGGTGATACGACTATACTCGAATACATTTTGAATAATGAGAGATCGGCAATATATTTGGTTGGTGTTATTAGCTTTTTTCCCGGGGGTTTGTGTCATTAATAAATAACAACATTCCAAATGAAAAAAAAAAAATAATTAAAGAAAAAGAAAGAGCTACTTTAAATTAATCATTAGACAGATTTGCTATATATGTGTAGCTATAACGCCTGATGTAATGTTTATGTTGATGTTTATATATGTGATGTTTTCTGCTAATCTGTACCAATATTATCATTTATGTGATGAAGCAAACTTTTGTCTTTTATGCTTCGTTAACTCGTACATGGTTATTCTATTGGTTTCTTTTACCGACATGGCGACATTTATATACCTCTTCACTTCTTTAAAAAAAAAACAAATATATATACCTCTTCACTTATAGTTTAACATGTAAAAAAATGTTGATACATATGGTTAGGAATTGATTAGGAGGATCATACATAACTGTTATGATTGTCCATTAGGAAATCCAGAGGACCATCCTCTAGGTCTTCTTTGTAACACCTACCCTTTCAGTGAATGATATTTACTATTTGGCAAAAAAAAAAAAAAAAAACTGTTGTGATTGTTATGTGTAAAATTACGTTGGTTCTTTTATGAGCAAATTAAACTTCGACACAGAAGTTTACTAATGTATGGAAATTGGAATATCTCATAATAGTTGCAACTAACACAGTCTATTCCTAAACAAGTTCATTACTCTATTGCCTCAATTTAAGAGTAGACGTTCCGGCCTTCCGAGCCTAAGCCTCTACGGACCTATTATCATCGAACGGTACGTAGTCACCGCAGCTACATTGGATATCTTACAACAGTTATTTTTTTTCTCTGTTCTTGATGGAATCTTTAACAAAAGCGTTTAAAACTTAAAACAATATAGTTTGACGATATATATGTTTATAGAAGAACTCGTTCGGTTAATTACAATTGCTCAAGTCATTTAAAATTCCGCATTTTTTCGTACTACTCTTCTAATTTTCATGTAATATCATTGCTTTAGAGCAAATCCAAGCTCTACAAAGTTCATTTAATTTTATTATATAACTTTAACAACTAACACCAAAAAGGTGTAGATTTCTAGAAGATTATGGAAATTAAAACACGACTAAGTGTTCTTTTGCAGAAAATGTAGAGAGAGAGGGGGCCAGGGATCACGTGGACGATGCGTGGGATAGAAATGAGAAAAAAAACGAAGGGAGAAGAGAGAAAGAGTGGTTTTACAAATCTCCTCTAATCCTTTCTCAGCCAATTATGATCAATCTCCCACGTGGGGCTTCTGGCCCCATGCATGCACATCATCTTTCAACTATTCACTCGTTTGTCTCCTTCTTCATCTTTTTGCGTGATCTTCTTCTATATATGGCTGTCTTTATCTCCACAAGTGGCTTTTAGAGAAGGCTCTTTTGAGTTTGGGTAGTGCTAACTCTAGGGTTTCCATTAACAATGGCTGATTCTTCTTCTGCTTCTTACATTCACATGGTAATTTTAGATGAGGAGATGATTCAAGAACCTCTTGTAGTACTAGCGACTCCGTTGTTTCCAAGAATTATTATATATATATTTCTTCTCTATAACGTATCTTTTTTTGGATGTGTGTATGTATGTATAGGTGCAGCACATGATAGAGAAATGTTTGATCTTCCATATGAGCAAAGAAGAGTGTGTGGAAGCTCTCTCTAAGCATGCAAACATCACTCCTGTCATCACCTCTACTGGTTCCTCTCTCTCTCTCTCCTCCTTTTTAAGTACTTTTCTATCTTCCTAGAATCGGTATACACACACACACACACACATATACGCATACATATGTACTCCCTAACCGGGTCATTATAATAAGTATAAACCATGGACATATCATCGTGTTATTATACAATCCTTAGTTAAAATAAGTTGATCTTGCGACATAGATAGGGTACTGCACATATGCCTTTTTGATCTATCTTTGGATTTCTCTAGTCATATAAGTGACCATGCATAGTCTAACGACTCTGTGCACTAGTGCCTTGAATACAGGGAGGCTAAAATTTATAAACAAAAGAAATAATAACAAAGAAAAAAGAGTAGATCGTCCTTGTAACATATATAATCGTATAAAAGTTTCTGTAAATATTGAAATTTAGATCTGTACGTTTTCCTTGGTGCTATCATAATGAATTGGTAACAAAAAATATAACAGTGTGGAAGGAGCTGGAGAAAGAGAACAAGGAGTTCTTCAAGGAGTATGAAGAGAGGCAGAGCAAACAAGAACAAATGTCGGAGGAAGAGACAAACCAGATGATCCAGAAGATTATCTCGGATTCATCTAAAGAATCCGACGACTGATCGCGATGTTAAATCGTTAGATTTCAAAAAAATCCTTATAGTTTATATATATATATGAATCTCATGAAAACGATTTATCCCTGACGCATGCATGTTTATGTGTAAATTAAATCGTCTTTTCCTTGCTTTGCATCGGTCCAACAAGTAAGACAGCAAAAAAAAAAAAATGGAGTGATGACACTCCTTTTTGTACGTTATATACGTACGTGGTCCACATAATATTTGCTTTTGTAAAATAATTATATAAAATAAAAAAACGGAAGCTCTCATACAATATTGTGTGGCGTTTTAATTGAATGTATCATGTTTGTATATATTTATATTCAAATAAACTATACTGTATATTGATAGTCTTGGTCACCTTGAAAGGGCTTTGGAAAGTAATTATCATTAAAAGATTTGAACATTACCAATACCAACTGAAACAAAAGGACTTTGTTTTTCGACATTTTATTAAAGCTCAAACTTCAAGAAACTATGCTCCAAAATTCATTAACAATGAGTTCTCAAGACTATGTGCATGGATTTGTTAAAGACTGTCAAAACTCTTAAATATTAAATTGTTCCTTTAATATGAGCTCTTAATTATTTTTTAGATTTAAGTCGGACGATAATACAGTGTTTCCACAATTCCTTTCGTGTGTTCATTAGAGACATACATACAAATATACAATACAACTATTCTAAGAAATGCACAAAAGTATTTGCCAAAACAAATCCAGAGTTTTGCATATAAAGACAAATTTAAAATATTCCCATTTAACATTTTTTATACATTAAAAGATGCACAACACAATAAAAACCCACACTTGAAACTAGTAAACAAGAACATAAAATTTGTAGAGATTTGCCATATTACTCTTCAAGCTTTGTAGTATGTAAGATAAACGCTGAAATGGAGAATGGTATCATGACCATCAGTGACATGTTGGTCTTCCTGGTTGTGTAGAGTCTCCACGACAGCGTATCCTTTAGCATGCTCGAATCTCCCAGTCCCGCCCACAACAGCTATATGCGAGGCGTGAGAAGCAGTGCGGTGAACACCAAAGAAGCTGATGGCATCATCAAGCGTGTCATGGTGACCATGCTCTTCACTGAGCAACACAGTTAAGGAAAGGGTCTGACTAGTTCCGTCCAAAGAGGTAGCCAGGTAAAACCCTTGGGCTCTGCCAATGACTGCAGAGCCTAGCTCATGGCCCTCGGTGAGCTCATCGTCGACCACAGTGATAGTGCCAAACATGAGCTGTTGGAGGGCAGCTACGGGAGGGAGCTGACCAGTGGTTACGAAGGGAAGATTGCTAGAGCTAAGTGCTCCTTGGGAGTTAGCGTTGCTATTTTGGATGACGGTGTTGGCTTGAGAGCCACTAAGTCCTGTGAGGAGTGGAGCTGTGTTTGGGTTGATTAAATTGTTGATGCTGTTTGCGTTCACAAGCGGCACTGCGTTGTCTACTGGGAAAACGTTGTTGCTGGATTTAGAAAACGGTATTCCATTCACCTCTGTTTGTGCTACTATTCCCGTTACCACACGTGCTGATGGGTGTGACCCGCCTAGCACGTCATGCATAAAGAACTCGAGGATTGGCTCATGTCCTCCTGTGACAGGTCCTGGCAGAGGAATTGGTATTGGAGGTTGTGTTGTTGTTGTTGTTGTTGGAGTTGCTGTTACGGCTGGTGAACTGTCATCTTCCTCTTCCGGTACCGGGGGGACTGGTTGTGCCTCAGTTTGAAACTCATCGAGAAGTCGAGCGGATTGGACAGTGGAAGCTATCAATAAGAGGAAGATAAAGACTGTTAGGCTAAGAGCTTTGGCCATTCTTGTTTCTTTTGCTTTGGTTTTAGATTCTGTGTTTATTTTCTGAGGCCTAATGGGTTTGTTTATATAGGAAGCTTGGAGGGTGATGAGATGATTGGAGTGGAGTTGTTGTTCTTGTTGTCGTTGCGTTCTTATACTCTAGTTGAGTAATGGATTTAACTAAACCTCTAGGTTTTTTAATTAACTTTAGTTTCCTACTTACTCCTCTTGTTGTTGATTTCTTTGACCTATTTTGTTTCTTTCTATTTCTTCGTTACAAATTAGAATAGGTCGTACCAAAAAATAAAAAACGATTTGGAAGAGATCTTAACGATTCATATCTTCGTATACTTAAATATTATGAATGCACTCGTTTGTACGAGACACTGTTGTTTATTCTAAAATTATGTTGTGGAGCTAAACTTAAGACCATCTCTAAAGGGGGCTCATACATGAGTTCATAATTTTATTTGCTCAAAAATAAATAAAAAATGTGTATTTAGTTAAGGATGAGTTTTTAATTAAGCATTCTGGTTCTTTTTATTGCCACACACATGAATGATAATGATTAGAGTTGGCCACTGTTATTTTCTTTTTGAGTTTTTGTTTCAAATGAGTTGATAATAAATAATAATACTGAGATCCACCATTGGAGGAGGATAAAATTAAGGGTTCTTAATAAAAAAAATTCTGAAATTCTAAACTTTCAATTAATCAAAATTTATAAATAATTTTTTTTAAAACCCTATAAAAAGAGTTCACTTTGGAGATGCTCTAAAGTTAATAAACCATGCCTATGGAATTATTATTATCTTTTTGTTACGACATGACTTTTTTCAAATTGGGCGAATTTTGGTCAAACACTTTTGAATATTGGACTTAGTGGTAAAACAGTTGGGCCAATATTGTCAAATTACATCTAGAATTAAGGCCCATGATTGAATCCTCCGTCGAGCAGGAACCACCACTCCCCTCGTCGAGAGCTTAGATTGGAGCTATGGCGGTGAATTCATAATTAGCTGAGCTCTAGGGTTTATATATTCATCATAATCGTCCCAAATCCAAAGTTGCACATGGTCTAGGAGTTCACCTGACCTCGGAAGCAAAACCATCCTGAAGTCGTAACAGTTTCCTCGCTTCTGCTAGACCCTAGCTGTGTAAGCTTACTCGTTTGAGAGATGTATCTGTACAGTCTAACTCTGCAGCAGGCGACGGGAATCATCTGCGCGATCAACGGGAACTTCTCCGGTGGGAAGACACAGGAGATTGCGGTAGCTCGTGGCAAGATTCTGGACCTTCTCCGTCCGGACGAGAACGGTAAGATCCAAACGATACACTCTGTGGAAGTATTTGGTGCAATTAGATCCTTAGCTCAGTTTAGGTTGACTGGTGCGCACAAGGATTATATAGTGGTTGGCTCAGATTCGGGTAGGATAGTTATACTCGAGTACAACAAGGAGAAGAATGTGTTCGATAAAGTTCATCAGGAGACTTTTGGCAAGTCGGGCTGCAGAAGAATTGTGCCAGGCCAGTACTTGGCTGTCGATCCCAAAGGGAGAGCTGTTATGATTGGAGCTTGTGAGAAGCAGAAATTGGTTTACGTTTTGAACAGAGATACTACTGCTAGGTTAACCATTTCTTCTCCCTTGGAAGCTCACAAGTCTCATACCATTTGCTATTCTGTCTGCGGTGTCGACTGTGGCTTCGATAACCCCATTTTTGCAGCCATTGAGCTTGATTACTCCGAGGCAGATCAGGATCCCACTGGCCAAGCCGCAAGTGAGGCTCAGAAGCATCTGACTTTCTATGAGCTCGATTTGGGGCTCAACCATGTCTCTAGAAAGTGGTCAGAACCAGTTGACAATGGTGCTAATATGCTTGTTACTGTTCCTGGAGGAGCTGATGGCCCAAGTGGAGTTTTGGTTTGCGCTGAGAATTTTGTTATTTACAAGAATCAGGGTCATCCAGACGTGAGATCCGTGATTCCTAGACGAGCTGATTTGCCTGCTGAACGAGGAGTTTTGGTAGTTTCTGCCGCCGTGCACAAGCAAAAGACAATGTTCTTCTTTTTAATTCAGACCGAGTATGGCGACATTTTCAAGGTTACTCTGGATCACAATGGCGATAATGTCTCCGAATTGAAGATCAAGTATTTTTGATACAATTCC